AAATACCTATATTCAAGTTATAAACATATCTGTTTATTCTAGGTATCCCTCCCCCCCCCCCTCTCTTCCCCCGCCCACAGCATGCAGTATATATTTAAAAATTCATCAAAGGATAAAACAAATCATTTCAAGTGAATAAAATAATTATCAAAATTTTGAATTGCCAGGAAGCCATTGATTTGTCATTGTGTTTTGACTGGGTAGAAACAAAAGGTATTACACTGATTCCAGTGCAAAGTTTTACATGGCTGGCCAATGTGAATAGTTTGTATATTGTTATATAAATTATAATCAATAAGGTCATAGAGTTGGGACTTACACATCCTTATGTAATATCAACATAAGACTTGACAGACACTCTTTGTAGTTATAGGAATATGTACCATTGTTATCTATATATAGATTTCTTTACCCAGGCTTCATTGCCAGGCTTGTAGATGTAGCCAGCAATTTCAAAGGGGGGACTTTTTTTCTGAAAAAATGGACTTTTTGCCATGAAACCTTCATATACCTTTATCAGAATAAACCTAGATTAGATCCCTTTCCCTAAAAAAATGGTGGTTAGAACACCCTGGAACCCTCCTCCCCCCCCCGGACCTGAATGCAAACCAAGCTATGTTACAGTCCTTCCCATGTACAGTTAATGCTGAGGTAGGGGTCTATAGTCAGCCATGGGGGGTGGGGGGGGGGTGGGGTGAATAACTGCTCTTTTTGCCATTAAATGTCCAATCCAAGTCAGAATTTGGTCAGCAGCAGGTGGGTTCAGTGCCATCTCTCAGATAGGGTCAGCTTAGGGGTAAAATTGCTGCACCTTGTCAGAAATAAGAATGCCCCTTCTGAATTATTGGATACATGCCTCAATACTGTGTTTTGAAAAAATATGTTTTAGGAGGGGTAAGCTGGGAAGTGCTAAACTATTACTCTTTGAAGTAAAAAATAGACTTGGTTCTTGGAAGAAGAAAAAAAGTCAGGCAAAGTGTTTGTTTCACCAGACTCAGATGCAACTAAATACCACTTGTGCTTTTTGAGTAGTTGAAGTTCAACTTTTTTTTTTACTTCTTCAAGGGTCTCCGTTCTTGGCCTTCTCTTCTTTCCAAAGCCAACAAAAAGGACAAACTTACAATTAAAAAATGAACACATTTTTAATGAAACCCTTTAATTCATACCCCCCCCCCTTGATTTTAAGCCATGGGAAATTGTCACATTATATGAAATCTGTCACACTTATTTGACAAAGTAAATAAAGTTAATCTCTCTTGTCTCTGTATAAGGTGTTATATATTTTGTAAGCCCGCAGATTTTGTCTAAAATTAGATGCACAGTTTTTTTTCTTTTGTTTACATTTGTGTTGATTCTTCATCTTAAGTCAAGCAGTTATATACATAGCACCATGTTTATATAGCCCTTTTTTGAAAAGTCATCAAAATTCAGCTCTCTCTTCAGTTTTTTCTTTTCCTTTTCCTTTCTTAAACATGTTCATACATGTGTGTGCCGCATCAATTATCCAGCTGTTTTTTTAAAGTAGATTCAATTGTCGTCTGATTTTTCAAACTCACTGGTGGTCTTACTCTAGGTTTAATTGTACCCATAAAATATTCCTACATGAGAGGTTATGGCAGATTTAGACGAGAGAGAGTCGAACATGTTATGTCACTCTCCTACTTCTCCTTAAATGAGCGTCTCTGTTTGGTTAGTCTTATTACTGTAGCAGTGTATATTGAAACAGATTTTAATGTGCTGTAAAATACAGTCTGGGGGGTGTTGTGCAACTGTGTTTATCTTTAGTGAACAAAAATAATCGCCCATTATAATTTTGAAATTCTGTTTGAATAAACATAAGAAGGGTTTGGGTAGCATTTTCTATGATGAAAAAAAAAGATTGTGGTTTTTAGTCATGTAAGTCGAACTCCGTTTTTTTCAGACACTTTTTTGTGTTGCTAACTCTCACCTCTCTCTCTCTCTCTCCAGGCCTGTAGTCAGGGGGGTTCAGGGGAAAGAACCACCCCTTTTGCTGGTAAAAAGTCTGCTCTGGGTAAAATTGGATCTAGGTACACCAGAGTTTGATGGCAAAAGGTCCACTTTTTTCAGAAAAAGACCCCCCCACACACACACACACACACACACCTTGACATTGCTGGCTAATGGCCTGCTCTCTCTCTCTCTCTCTCTTTTTTTTTTTACTCGGCATGAGCAGCATGTCTGAATTGTTTACAGGCATTAACAAATTAAAAATATACAACCTATTACTCCTATTACTTTACTCCCACGGCTTGCACAAGTTACAGAACCTTCAAGGCCTTCGGTGGAATTGTTTGGCTCCCTCATGCATGTGATATGTTACCTGATATACCTTGTTTGCATATCGTAAAGACTTCATTGATCTCTCTGCATTATGAAGAAACTGGATGAAGTAAATGGCATTTTGATAATGATTTTTCATAAATAATGTACTCTGTAATCCTGAATGGTGGATATATGTATGTAAGCAGATTATGTCCACTGTTCTGGAATACTCCACCCACGTATTGGAGAATACGAGATGAGGAGGAATAGTTAATTGTGGGAGTAATGATATTTTTAAACAAATAATCTTAGATTCTTATAAGGTGCTTGCTCCTTGTAATCTTTTAAAAAATAAAACCTTTGTGACATTTCAGTGATTCCTTGTCATATATTCTAGTCTGGACTATGTGATGAAGTGTAATCAATTTCTTTTTTATTTTTATTTTTAGATTTATAGAGAATAAAATCTTATGCATACCATTGCCATGAATCAGGAATCCATTCATCATGAAATACATTGATTTGACTTGATAGATAGAAATTATTTCTTACTTGATTTAATGATTATGAATAACAGCTATTTGTTTTCAAATTTCTCACTCATTCCAGTTTTTTAAACTAAATTTAAAAGAATTAATTTTTTAGTTGGGGCTGTATAGACGCAGTTATATACCAATTAACTTTTTAAAATTAACCTTTTTAAAGTATTACCATCAAGACATTGTCTTGGGAATATTATTTTTTATATTCACAATCAAATTATTTTATTCAATTGGGTCACTTTGGATGAAACAAGTTGAAATATGATAGAGACCGTTCTCTGCTAGCTTTCATACAGCTTTTAGTTTTCAGCCAGCTTTCAATTGACACCTCAGGTGAAAAGGTGACATCTGCTTTCACCAAAATCGAATTTCCTGGACAGGTCCAATATTTATCCTTCGCAGACAGTCAGATGTCAGATTAAATAACTATCAGGTTATCTCTTCCTTCTTCCTCTCCCCTTAAATTATTGGACCAGTTTAAAGAGTGTTGTTGTGTTGAGGGACAGGTAGCGTGACCTGGTGGTCAGGAAACTTTGATAGGGTAAAGAAACATAAACAGCTGATTCTGATGCTGCTCACAGTTTGAGGGGGAGAACACTTAAGAAGGAACCACAGCCTTAAAGTAATCACAGAGGCAGAGATCTCTCGCAACACAGCGTCAGAATGAGAAAGGAAGTGACAGAAGTAACGCAGAAGTAGAAGTGACAGAAATCGCTCCCCCAGGAGGAACATATCAAGTGTGTTGTGAAGCAGGGAGTTGTTTTCGGATGACCGCTCTGAATATCAGAGACAATTAAAGCTGAATTGTGTTGGCTAGAGTTACAGTGTAAGGTGACACATGTGAGCCGTCTCAGGTTTTTTTCTTTCTTTTTTTTTTCTGTAGTCACCCATGCGTGTTGGAACAGATCCCCCCAGAAAAACAAGTTTAGCACTCTTGTTAAATGGAAAGGAAGGAAGGGATAAGTACAAGAGTGGAGTGTCCTGTGGAGCAGAACATTTCTAGTTGTTTTTGCCACTCTTTACTTTGACTGATGTTCTACCAAGGGAGCTGCTTCATCTGATTTCACCGTCTGAAAAAGAAAATACCGAAATACTTTTAGCAAACTTTTTCCTAATAGGTATTAAGTTAAACAGTCAAGAACAATTACTGTTTTTGTTTTTCCCATCAGCATTTGAACGACATTCAGTCTAAACTATACCTTGAACTGTCACCAAACGAACTGGAAGAACAATTTCCATGGCAGGGGTTATTTATAAACTGCTGTAATTTTTTTTTCTGGAACAAAATAACTGGAGATACATGTTATAAAGTTACTGTCTTTATAACCTTTCTAGATACTGAATTAGTATATGTACAAGTGCAAGGAGTTCCAGTGACAAACATGTACTAGTACCCTTAACACCATATTAAAAACAGTGACAAAGTACATCCACTTTAGAGTGACTCTCAAGTGATAAGATTTGATTGCCACTGCAGAAACAAAATTAATGACATGATCAGGAATTATTCTGATGTTTACCTGTTTGTACAAGACAGAAGGATAAATCTCTGATGAGTTAGTGCCTGTCCTTAACTGACAGGGACTTGTCGCTACCTCAAAGGAAAAAGAAAAAAAAAAAGATTCTCAAGAAAGAAAAGCTCTAGCTGTGTCTACTAGTAAGATAGGCCATCCTTTGGATTGTTAAGCACATTGTATTGAGATGACCACAGTCGAGTTTTGGTGATTGGAGACAACAATACACCCCAAGTCTCAGTAGCCCATCGCTCCATGGAAGACAGAAATTAAATTGCTGTTGAACTCTGTAATCTATTCACGGGGGACACCTCTTCTTCAGTAAAGAGGGAAATTAAAACCTTATTGATCTTTCACGGACTATATAGGATAACAGATTATTTACCAGTGGAAGACAGCTGTTGTTGCCCTTGGCAACTGTTTGTCGCAGGCCGTGGCAGCACCAATCCAGTTGAAGATAGAAATTTAACCTGTGTCAATCGTCATTAGAATTGCCCCCCACAAGGTATCCAAATTCTTAATAGTTTCAGTCTGTCTGGGAGCTCCATAGTACAAGTTGGTTCTATTCATCCCAGATCATAACTCAAGTAGCTCTTAGCAAGGTGTATGCTCTGGCACACAAAAATTCAGTCTGGAGTTTTCAGTTGCTTTTTAATTCTCGAACTGATTATAAACCTGCTCGCTGAGATTCAAGTGGAATGACATTCTGTTTATGACATTCATTTCTTGACAGCCAGTACAGTTTCTTATTTGGAATTGATCGTATCAATGACATTTCAATGCCAAGGATATATTTTATCAGGAAATTCTCTTGGGATGCGATACACAAGTAACTGCTGATTGAATGGTGAAACACATGACACTGATCAGAGAGAAGTCTGAAAAGCCTAAACTGCATGGTTATGTGAGGACCACTTGACATTGAGAGCTGACATTGATACCTGTACATAATATATCCCATATCTCTCCAGGGAAGTTGCCTGTTGCTGAATCATCAAGTTTGATTTCTGGTGTATTACAGTCATTTAGGAGACTCAGTGCCCACATTAAGTGCCGTTTAAGACAGATTCATTGTATATTAGTTCCGATTTAGGCGGCAGTAGCTTGTCTGAATTGGTGAGTTGTGGCATTTGATGCTGACATATCCCAGATATCTCAGTACAATTGGATGTTTCATAATTGGACAATGATGGTTTAATGCTGTTACATTATATCTGAATCCTGCTACATTGTATCTGAATGCTGCTACATTGTATCACTGATTTCTCTTGAGAGGTGATTCTCTGCTTAATTGGGATCAAGACATTTGATGCTGGGGCACACGTATCACTTGCAAGGCAAGCCTTCAAAAGATTAAACAGCAGTTTGATGGCAATTTACTTTATCTAAAGGTGTAGATCCCTTTTAGTCGCAGTTCACTGAGGAAGTTACGGTCTACTGAAATGACAAGATAACCTTTTTGAACTTATGGCAGAAAATATGGATTCCAAAGTTATCATGACAAAGACATTTAGTGGCGTCTGACTTTGATTTGTTTCTCTCTTCTTTTTATTATTATTATTATTATTATTGCAGCTGTGAAGTTACAGAAATAGTCTCATCATTATTGTGATATGCTCAGTAGATAAAAAGCATAAAAAAAGTGAATACAAGTCCATCAGACGTACATAGTCTGGATATTTTGGACAATTCGGCACTTCGTACCAGACCTTGACTAAAAAGCTGGTGTTGAGGTCTTGTTTCCGGTTCTGATAACAGAGAACTTTGCTATAGCCATCACCTGAGACAATAAACTCTGGAGATTGTTTTGTTTCTCCTTTTGATTTTATATACAGCTTGTCTTAATTGCTTGACAGTCTGAGGCGAAGACATTGTGCTCTCGAAAAGGGCACTGATGAATTTGTAACAATTGGATGCCACACTCCTCAGTTGCATGTCTTGGAAATTGATAAATTTATTTGTGTTATCAAATCAGGACTTAAACAAAGGCTGCACAAACTGAATGCATGCTTAGCGCTGCGCTGCCTTTGTGAATAACATTGATTGTCGCAGCCACGTTGCCAGATATAGAATTCTCGGATATTTGGCTTCATCCTTGCAGATATTAATCATTAATAATTAACAGCCAACAGCATCTTCAGGAGCCTGGAAATGAATTTGCTTTAAAATGACATAGAAAAAGGAGGATGTTGACCAAAAAGTTTTGATCATTAAGAAACTTTATTGCTCGATATTACATGTACTGTCTTGTTAATTGCTGACGGGAGGTTGGAACTCTTCCGCTATCGAGGGTGACAGTTGGATTCCTATTTGTGCTCACTGTCAGATAAGATTCAGCCCTGGACTTTCCAAGATGTTCAATTATTATTATATTAGAAATAAGGTAAGTCAGTGTGTATAGCAGTATAATGTGATCCTAACCAGGGAAGTCTCTCTCTCTCTCTCTCTCTCCAAACAGCTCTGTAGTGATCTGAAAGAATAATATTGAAATTAAAAACCAGGTTAAAATAGTACAAATAGTCATGAATCATAAAGGAAAAACAATTCTTTTGTTAAATTTTTGATTAAAAAATGGTCATTCTAAATTCGGAACATGCCTCAGCAATGACTTTTACCAAAACAAAGGGATTATTATGAAAAAAGTGAATGAATTTTGTAAAAAAAGAAAGAAGGTGAAATATTGATAGTTAGTGTTAGTTTAGATCATGTGCTTTATACATAAAGTACTAGTCTGGTAAACTAAGGTATCCAAGTTCTCATTTTCCTATGTGGACATATGATATTGTGTTAAGTGCCCAAAATAAATTATATAGCTATTTATGTGTGCCCACAGGTTGTTGGTCCCCTCTGCTGTTTCGTTTACCCAGAAACTGAATTCTTTAAAAAATAAAAAGAACACACACAATAGGTGAAAGTCATTAACTGGGAAGATGTTGGTGTGAGGTATTTATATATTATGGCCTCTGCTAATAATACTGTTATCACAACCAATATTGAGAAATTGTTTCTGTTTTCTTTAAGAAGTGTGTGAGTTTGGAGGGTTGTTGTATGTGTGCCCAGTCTATTGATGGCCGAGGTTTGAGCACACGTTTATTTAGCCAGTTAATAGCGGGAATGCACGCTGTGTTGGTTTTGATAGCTGATAGGGGGATTTGATCAGATTTGATTAAGGTGATTCAGGAGCTCGTATTAAGAATGGGGGTATAAAGTATAGCCAGGGGGGAGTTTTATTATGCAGAAGGATGGTGGGGGGAGGGGATTGGCTCTAAACTTTTGAAGAAGTACATTGAGGCTTTTTAAGATTAATACAGAGAAAAATGTTTATTATGCAACAAGAAATCAAATTAATTCCAGATTAAGTGGAAACAATTTACTAATTTTTTGTTTGATAATCTCTCTCTAACCCACCCCTCTCCCCATCCCCACTCCAAATCCACAAGGAATAACAAAATGAATCACTTCTTCTTGGTACAAAACTCATTCCCGTCAAAACATCAAATTATAGAAGCCAGTGCTGTGATGTTTTCAAGCCTGCAGCAACTGCAGTGGCTGTGTTTTTACACGATTAATTTGTATACTCCCCGTTAGTCTTTAATGTGCAACTGAAGACTGGGAATTCGATAGGACTTAAGGTTGACTTTACTTCTGAAAATAAACTGTACAGCCACATAGCTCGGTGACTGATGCATGAAATTGTTGATGTTGTAATCTTAGTTGTTGTTTGGTTAAAGAAGAGAGAGAGAGAGATCTTAGTTGTTTTGTGATTAAAGATGAGAGAGAGAGGGGGAGAGGAGTGGAGAGCTTTTCTTGATCTCTGACAGACAGACAGGCAGACAAATAAATGCATAGGTGGATAGATGGAAGCAATCAGTGATTTCTTGATTGAAGAAATGAATGAAGACAATATCTCACCGTTTAAAATAATGCAGTAACATTTTACAGCCGCTTTTACCTACTTATTGATCTGTTGCATGCTTGATCATTCCACGTAATTGTTCTCTCTCGCACTGAATCAACGCCTGATTGACAGGTGAGAACATTGGTGCCATGTCAAATATCCAGAAGTCCTTAGACCTCGATTCCTTTCTTTCCTCAGGTCGGCACATTCAATCAGAACTCAATAAAAAGGTCTTTGTTTATTTGTCTAGACTGAATCGTGTTAATTACTCTCGTTTTGTGGACTAATTAAGATCTTTCATTATTCACACGGATTATACAGAAAACTGGCTGAAAGGAATATAGGATTTCAGTGGATGAAAACTGGGGGGTATTTTACTCGTGCCTTATGTAGATTTTGTAATTTCTTTGGGTCTACTTCCAATAAAGAGAGGTCAGTTCACCTAATTTAAGTTTCCATTTTCTGTATTAGGAAGATAAAAAGAATAGTTTTGTACTTATTTATTGCTACAGTTTAGGAGAGCTACATCTGGAATTATATTTATAACTATTTATTATTGCCATCACAATGGTAATTATTATTATTATTATTATTTTTATAAGGACATATTGCATATGACATTCCAGACCTTGCAATTACAACTGGAATAATACAATTAAGATAAAAGGGCATCAGAATTGTAATTCTTTCAGGAGGTTTGCTTTAATTGGCCTGATCCACATGTACTGCATGCATATACGCACTGACTGTTATCCCATTCCACAACTTTTGTGCTATTATTTCACATAAACTTTGAAGTTCACAAAGGCCCAATCTATCTTATTGATCCCCTGCGTGCTGTTGTGGTTCTCTGCCACTCTGATCTTTTAACAGCAGGATTGATTCTTCCCCACGTGTTCCACGCCGCGTTACAGCGACAATGGGCAGTAATTGAGTCCCCACATGAAAGGTGATGTGGAGTTATTCCACTGGAGTTTTGCTTAAAAAAAAAAAAAAAAAACCTTTACTCCCACATTCATAATCACTGACAATGTATCGTGCAATTCTTTCAGAAAGAATTGCGTGCAAAGGCTGGTTGTCTGTTTGGTACCTAAAGAATGAGGGGAAAAAAAAAAGAACTTTACAAGTACAAAAAGATATTATGAGAATTCTGCAGTTAGAAATGGATGTATAGAATTCAAGATGAAAAGATTTGAGAAGCAGTCTGGTTCTTCTCCTATTTGTATAGAATTGGTGTAATTCTAGTAAAAGAAGTGTCAATGCCCCTTAATAGAGTTGACTGAGTAACTTCTCGTGTTTACCGCCGTATTTTGCACTTAGAAATAGATCAAGATAATAAACAGAATATCTTCATTCAATACACATAGTAGGTATGTAGTATTTAAAAAGACAAAAAATCACAGGTGTTATAGAGTGAGATGGATATTGTTTTTGATGCTTTAGAAGTTTTAGACGATCAGGTGTTGAATATAAAAATACCCAACCTTAAGTGTTCACTTTAGAAGTTTTAGACGATCAGGTGTTGAATATAAAAATACCCAACCTTAAGTGTTTAGGACGGGAGGTCTTAGTTCAGAAACTCAGTCTTGTAAAACTTAAGACAACCAGTTTGTAACAATATTAAGTTAAAAGAATTAAAAGATGAATTTGTATCTTTCATGATATTTTCTCAGAGTTCTGTGAAAAGATTCAAGATTTTTCTATCAATTACCTTAATTTGTACAAAATTTGGAGGCTACGTAAACTGACAATCAATGCCTGTTCAGCATCATCATCATCATCATTATATCGAAGCTGTTTAAGTTCCTGAAATGTAACAAGAATTGAGTAAATGCAGGTGAATTCAGTGCCCCTAACCCTTGAAACTCAGGGTGATAGAGGTGCCACCTCCCTCTTTGAGTAGGAGGACAAAGAATGTTAATTTGAAATCTCGGGTGGATCTATTGTGTTTTGGCAATAATGATAATATTGTTTTTATTGATGTTGTAATTGATAAATATTTGTATTGTTTAGTATAGTACCCATGTGTTTGTGGTTGTGTTAGTTTGAAAAAGGTTACTCTCATATATGACAGTGGGACATATAGTTTGATACATGGTATTAATTCCACATTAAAATTGAATAGAAAAGTTAAAATTAAGTCAACTAAAGAATAACAGTTTTGTAACCTTTTAAGTTATAAATAAAATTGACTCAGACACTAAATGACAAGTTTTACATGGTATACAAATTGGTTTCGATCTGGAGATCTGTGGACCTTGACAGCACCCAGAAACAGTAGGATTTCATAAACTCTAGCTTTAGCTATTAGCTTTAGCATCTTATCTTAGAGATCATAAAAAACCTAATTCAGTTCACTTAAATGTTATATATCCAAATGTGGCATTTTGATTATATGTCTATAAAAGAGTTCCCCTTTCTACTTTTTTATTTATTTATTTATTTATTTATTTATTTATTTATTTATCTTTGGTTGTAAAAGAATTTTGGAATTTTTTTTTTTTTTTTTTTTTTTATTCACGAAAATTAATACAGGACATTTACAACACAATAAGAGACAAATACACCTTCCACACACCATTCACACACTGCAAATAAAGTTCTTAAAAATACATGTAGAATTTTTTTTAATAAAAGAATCTTAGTAGGCCTAGGCTACAATAAATGTTCTTTTCTATTCATATCAATATTTTTTCTATACTGTCCCATTTTTTTCTTAGATTATCTGCCTTTTGAGGACCCAGTAGGTATAAAGATTGAAAATCTATTTTCTTTTGCTTTTCCAAATACTTTTTTGCAGGCATTCCAAAGAGGTGTAATTTTATTCTGTCTACATAGAGTGAAATATTTCTTTATATAGAGAAGTAGTAGATTAATACCTAAGAGAGGGCTGTCGTCCAGGATTCCAAATATAAACAGGCACGGTTGTTGTTGCAATTCAACAGAGTACTGTGTGCGTAGGTTCTGAATGAGACAAGTCCAAATAGCTTGAACATATGTACAGTCCCAGAAAAATTTTGGAATTTTATTTGCATTTTTGTGACAAACTTATTGCATCATTTCAAGAGAAATTAAATAAAAATTTAATTATTATGTAAATGTACAAGTTGATTGAGATGTGGCAGAATGGTATGTTCTAAAAAAAAAAAAAAAGAAAAAAAATCTGTGTGAAACTGCAGTTTTCCTCCTTACCAACCATGCTCTTGTGGTAATAAATCAGTCTGTGTACCTGGAGTCTTTCGATATTTCAATAAAGATTTACGCGTGTAAAAAAATGAAAGGTTACGTTAGAATGATCGTGATGTATTATCAGTAAACATCTCAAGAAGATCATGTGTCGGGACAAGAGACAGGCAAATACTTTGCAGACAGTGAGCAAACAGCAATGAATATCCATTTACAATGTTTAACCAGGTAATATTGCTACAATGAGCTGAGAGATAGGCTGCTCGTGAGTTCCGAGTTCAGAAGATTGTCTAAGAACTGTGGCACGATTCTGACGATACTTGTTCTACGTCAAATAAAAAAAATAGATGAATTGTAAGGTGATCTCTGATTTCCCCGGAGGATGTGTTTTCTCCTGATCTGAGACACTGCTATTGACATGTATTTTCTTGCGTGGTAACTGTAAGTTAGGGGATATAGGATGTCGCAGGAAATGAAGCAGGTTGCCGTTAGCCATTTTATTCGATTTCATAATATAGGGCAATAAATAAATGCTTCTTTAATTATTTATATATTCTTCTAGTCTTCGTCTATCAAGCCTATTACCCACATTTTTAAGGGAGAGGTTCTTTCTGTGAAAAAAAGTAGTTTTTTCCCCCTTGATTCTTCATCCAACTTGATACAAATTGCATAAGACTTTGAACCTTTTCTTGGCAAAAAGACATTTTTTTTACAAAACCACAACAATGTCTTCACCTGTTTACCTCCATGAGTATAAATGGTAAGGCCATTTACTGGCGTCCTCTTCCCCCATCCATATTTCCACTCTGTTCATCCTTTCATTTACAAGTACACAGGATTTGAACCCACTCTTTCCATTCAATCTGCTCACAGTCCACACCTTGTCCACAAACACTTGGTCATAACTCTGTCTATATTCTGTGTTTACACAACAAGACCATGACATCTTATCACAAGATACATTTCTCTTCAAAACCTCTTAAAGAGGAGCACCCAAAATTATTACTTCTACCTGAATCTGGCGAGAGACTTACTAGGTCAGGTGCTTATGTTACCCGTGAGATGTTTCACCTAACAGGTGTGCACAGGTGAGATTCAGGGTTGATTTGCTCGGCTTATGAGTGAAATTTATCAAAACTGGTGTCCTTGCCTTGGTAGCTGTTTGCTGGGGCAAACTTTCAAATTAAGGAATTTAAGTAAAGACGTGGTTAAACAATGGGTGATGTTTATGATGATGAGTCTATTTGATCTGATTTTTATTTATTAAATCTGGGTTTGCTTAGCCAAGATGGGATTATGGTGTGGGTGTGATTTGTTTGTTTCGTCTTGAACTCCTTTGTCAGAAAATATTTTAATGCCACAAAAGTTACTTAAGTAAGAGTTTGGTGTTAATCATAAGAAAAGGAAAGACTGATAAAAGTTTATTAAACATGGTTTGTGTAGTTACATGTAAATGTGTTCTGTCGTAAATAACATTATTTCTATTGATAGAAGTTTTCTGCATGAAGTATTGATAGTGTCAACGTAGCATTCCTTTGTTTCCTTTTTCTGTAATCTAGTTTGGCAGTAGTAGACCAGTCGGGGATAACAGAGTTGTATAATTTGTAAGTTAAAGTATAAATTTGTTATCTCTCTCTCTCTCTCTCTCTCTCTCTCTCTCTCTCATCTTCATCTGTTTATTCTCGGAGCCTTTCCTCCCAAATCTCTCTCTCTCGCTCCCTCTCTCTTTATCTCCTTTTCTCTCTCTCTCTCTCTCTCTCAGAGTATCAATCAGTTTTTAGTCAGCCGCTTAACACAATCAGTTTACCTTGTGTACATAGTCCAGAAGACAGGAGAGCCACTGTGTATTATAAGAGCCAGTTGTATCTTAGACTGGGTTCCCATACTTAGATCGATCCAACTGGATTGACCTAATTCCATGGGACTTCACGCTAAATTGCGATCAGCTCAAGAGGCTTAAATGTCTGTCATGCCTACCGAATCAGCTAGGGGTAAAGATTTACTAGGTGTGACAGACATTTAAGATGGTTACCTTGATAGTAATTTAGTGAGACTCCCCATGGAAATAGATTGATCCAAATATTTGTGGGAATGGTCCCTTACCTTATCATCCTCAGCGGGATAAGTGATACTGATATTGGTAAGGGGAGACCCATTGGTCCCAAATTCATATCACTTAAGAAGAAGAAAGATGTGATTGTTTACAGCACAGTTTAAGTATGGAGAAGATATCAACACTGGTAGGCCGAAGGAGGCCAGTTTAAGGTTAGGTTTGGATTTGTGCTTAATGAAACTCTGTTGTGCCTTAAAAAACAATCAGAGAAATTAGGCAGGGATAACTGTATGTGGTAGTTCACTGTGTCTGAATTCTTGTGGGTTTGGATTTGTCATTAAACTCAGTCCAGGAAAATTAGGCAATGATAACTGTGTAGTTCCTGGTGTGAGGAGATCTAGGTGAAAAGGGGGAAAAAAAGAAGAAGAAAAAAGGAAAGACATTTTGGAACATTTCCCAAGTGAGCGTGGGATATGTCGTCTGAATTGTTTTATAACATCAGAAGTGTTTATGGATGTTTTAAAAAGCTTTTTAATGGTTAGTTTGTCTGGATTTGTTGGCAAATTTTATTGGACCAGGTCACTTATAACCTAAACCATTGACTTAGCTCAAATGAAGTGAAATTTAGTTCATTAAACAAGTAGAAATGCAATGAGTAAATCTTAAATTTACTTGTCTGTTAAAATATAGAACTATGTGTGTTTAAATATGAAAAGAAATAAATGCTACTTATCAAATAAATTGTAATAAAAGAAAATATTTCTTTAGTAAAATGATATACAAAAAAAGAACACAACCTGCTCAAGCAGTGAAATTTGTTGTAACATATTGGAAAAAATGTTCCTGTTCAAAAATCAAGTTACGTGAATATAAGCAGACATTTAGGTGTTAAAACTATCTTTTAAAAAAAGAATGCAGGAAAAGATAATTTAAAAAGGAAAAAATATTACATGTTTCCAGAACTTTTGTAAGTGCATATCACTATAAAGAAAGAAAAAATATATAATGTTACCTGTGGAGACCTTATGTGAACAACAACAAAAAAATTTTTATACAAAAAAAAAATAAAAAAAAGATAATAACTTTAGTTCTACCTTAATAATAAAAAAGTAGTAGATGCAGGCAAGTTAATGGATGAGCTATACGTAAAACATAATAATTATAGAAAATCAGCGTAACTGGATATCATAAAATGGGAGAAATCACTCTGGCTCATTGTTCAGGCAGTCAGCCTTTCACCAGCTGATCTCCAAGCAGTGTGTAAAGCCAACAGTGATTATACCAATTTCCAAATAAATCACTCTTAAAGGGAATTCTCTCTGCTGTTTGGACGGTCTTTGTCCTCCTTTAACAGAGGTAAAGTGTTAACAAAAACGAAGCGTGTCTGCAGTAAAAGTCTTTGTTAAACCAACTGACTTCAAAAACGGTTCAAAACAAACCTGTTTCATTTTAAAGTCGCTTCGTCAACATGAACCCATTGCGGTCACAGTTAAGTGGAGTTTTGTCAACAAGCTTTTCCCTATTTTTTGGCCCAACGCTGCACGTCCCGCTTTACGTAGAGTGAATTAGGTGGATATTAAGTTTCATTATGTTATAAATTACGGACCCCACCAGGTTTGTCAAGCTGGATAACAACACGCCACTCACAATATCTACATACGTCAGAGGCAAGTTCACCTTCAAGGTTTTTTTTTTCTTCGTCTTTTTTTTTTTTTTTTTTTTTTTTTCGCTTTGGAATCTTTACATAGACAAGTTGCCTGAGTTCCTACTGTAAGACAGAGATTGGATGTTTTACCAGTTACACAGGAATAGCTTAGAGGCCAGGAGGTTTCCTGTTATGAATTATTAACACCAAGGGACATTGTTTGATATATACAAAGTGACTACACTGAATTTTTCATCTTTCTCTTTTTTTTCACCTGAATTATTTTTGCCTGTGATATTTCCTGTTGTGATGAAGGCACGACACTGTGTGCTACAAGGGATGGTATAGTCTTTCAGCAGTAGAGTCATTTTGATAACGACAGTGAACAAATCACATTGGAGTCTACTTTCACAGGTGCTTTGATTGCTGGAATAATGAAACAAAGGAGATACCAATTCCATGGTGTAGTAGTGAGTAGTTTTTTTTTTTTTTTTTTTTTTTTAAATTCTTATTGGACTGGGAATTAAGACTGTTTTGTGTCAAAAAAGTAACATCAGAAGAAGCATAGACAGCCAAAAAAACACTTAACATTAAAAGCTATTACACGTTATTATTTTTTTGAGAAGCAAAGATGTTTTTCATTCTCTACAGCATCCAAGACTTTGTTATGAGAACAATTACCCTAAACTATATAAAAATGTACAAACAGGGTATTCTCTTAAAAAAATACATAAAAGATAGACATACAGAGAAGTAAAAATTAAAGTTGCTTATTAGATCGAAACACTTTTAACCTCCTAGACATACATGTAATGTGTGAATACCTGGTCCAACCACTGATTTTAATTTGAGAATTAGGCAATTCTTAGCTCTCTGTATTGAACCAGGCTTTGTTTTCACAACCAGATGTGGTACATTGTGATGTGTTTAGTTAGTAGTAGGTAGTACTGTAGTAAACTTAATGAAAAACTACAAGACGGAGTAATGATGAGTGAAAAATATAACCCTGTATGCATTTGAAAATAGTATGACTAATGTTTTTAGTGGGAGATTTGCCTTATTTTTTTGAAGAACCTAGATTAGTTTCTTAAGAAGTTAATGGCAAAATTGTTCTCTTTTGTTTCTTCATTATTTATCCTCTCATTTTGTATTCTCATGTTATGCATTTTTACTGACTTTTTTTTTCTAATTAAGCTTCATAACAGTGTTGGTAATGTATAAACAATTTTCTTAACATACGAGTATTGTATTAATTTATAACATGTACGCTATTGAGTGGCATTGCACTAATTTTTGATTTGATTGTTTAATTACTCGCTGTTTGTCTTTTGCAACTAATCAACCCTTTCATTTCTCTCTCAGTGTTATGGTTGCTAAGCGACGTGTGTTGTAACCTTGGTAACCATGAAATCTCCCCAGCTCCGGCCAATGAGTGCTGAGAGAGGGCATTCTGGGAAGAAAGTCAGTTATGTTACCCTCCCATCTCTTGTCCAGGTAAATTTTACTTCATATCCTGCATGCTTTTAGATGCATACATGTAACAGTTGCTGCATAGAACTTTTAAGTGAGAGAGTATTGGAAAATGTGACGGGCATCACCATAGCAACTGGTTGCTTGGTAATGAGTCCCCATGCAACAACTCGTGTATTTTGTAGCATGTTTCTGGTTAATGAAATTGGTTTTGTTGAGGTCTAAATAGAAGCGTGATTAGTTGAGAATCATGAGATTTTCATTGTCATTGTGAAAGAGGGATCGATACCAAATAAAAGATAAATGCTTAAGAGTGACCTCTGCTTGACCCTTGGTCACTGAATGTGGTTATCCAATTAAGACCACAACAGTGAAAGCTTTTGTGGACTTGTCTTGCTCATAGAACAAAATTTGTGTTTGACTGTGTGATTGGTGCAATTAAGTGATTTGTCCTTTGGGAATTAACCAGTAATTGCGGGTTTTATCACGTTTCTTCAATTGTTATGTGTTGGTGTCAGATTCAATGCTTGAGTTAGTTGTCAATACTGGTATATGCCAAAATAATGCATGTGCCAGGTAGTATTGTATCCAAGTTATTAGTTCAGTGGAATAAATATTCAACCTGAAAATGTTTTATCCAGTTTGAATATTTATCAAATTATCTTGCATCAGGGAAGACTAACTTTCGATCTCAAGATATTTTGTCCAACCAAGCCCTGGCTAATATATTTGTTTAAGTCTATCTCTGTGTCATCCATATCAGTTTAAAAATTATAAAATTCAGATAATCGAATATAAATTGACTTTGGTAGTACTCTTTTAAATACACTGTCAAAACAAAATGACAAATATATTTGCTTAAATCAGTTATTATGCCTTTAAATAGGCTGTTTGAATAGTGTAAATAATAGTATCAAGTTTTAGACCTTAAACGTGACTTTGAAAATACAATTTTCAACTCTGGGGTGAAACCTGATAATTAGTAATATTTGCTTGAGGGAGTGTCTGTGGCCTCCAATAAACTTCTTAAATAGTGCAACTTTCAGAATAGGCCTAGAAGTAGATACTTAGATATGTAGAACTAAAACATAGCTTTGAAAATACACTTTTTAATGGGACAAAACATGAATGCCAGTGATATTTTTCACACCACTGACCACACTTTCTTTAAAGTTGTTTGAGTAGTACATAATTCCTGATTTAATGACTTAGATTTGACTGTTTTGAAATATTGTTTGAAAAAGGTGAAACTGTTAGAAATAAACTATCATGGCTCAAGTTCAAATACAGTCTGTTGAAGAGGGTAACATGTGGAATAGCCTGTGTGCTGCATTACATCACTGGTTGCCGCACATTACAGTACGCTAACCTGTTGTTTGTTTTGGTTACGATCATAATTTATATCATTCTTTTTGGTCCCCTTGGGCCTGGTTTTAGGAACAGTGACTTTTTTTATAAGTGAATAAAGCACAAGACCCTTTTTCAATTAATTTATTTTTTGAGATTCTTTTTTTAAGTTGTGTGAAATATCTTGAAACCCTAGGAGTCCTAGATAGCAGAAAAGGAAAGAAATAAAAGGAAAAGTGTGTGTGCCTTGGTCTAGCCTATTATTAAACAAATGATGTATTAATCCTGTGTAATCATTATAATTGTTGTTATCATTTATCAACTCCAGGTGAAGATAATTGACGACTTAGGCAAAATGACAATAGCAATGGAATGGCACACAGATTTTTTTTCTTTTCTTTTAATTTCCCTGACAATTTATGTTCAACCTATTATTATATCCTAAAGCTATGCCCTTCTATATTCCCCACACAGCCATTCTGCAGGTTACTCCTTCTGTAGTCCCCCAGACAATATAATTAATTCCCAGCATGCATCCTATTAATACCATACATCACACAAGGAAGGCCAGACACCCCTTAGGGAGAGTGGGGGTTCACTTAAGGGGCTTTTTGAACTGAAGAGATACAATATAGCTGAAATGATGGTGTTCGGAACCATTCCAAGACCCTATCGTACTAACTGTGGAATGATTGATATATCTCTGAGGGAATCCTCTCTAAATTATAATCAACTTAGGTGGCTTAGTCACACCTACTGAAGCTTCTAGGGGGAAATGAATTGTGGTTTAGCAGCTTCAGTAGGCGTGCCAGACATCTAAACTGCTTAAGCTGAAAGCAATTTAGCGAGAAACGCCTTGGAGATGGATCGATCTTGTTAAATCAGTCTAGGTATGGGAACCCAATCTTAGATTTAATGAAGAGAGACTGGTGTCATGATGTGGAGAAAATATTAAGATATAACCTGGAGTTGTCAGTAGTGTCAGATGGATGTGTATACAATAGTATGGGTGTTAATGCTGGGGAAAATTTGTGTAAGATCAATATACCTTTGATGTCACAAATGTACCCCCCCCCCACCCCAACATTATCACCACCACCTATGATTGACAGGGGCGGATCCAGAGATATTTTCTGACAGTCTTCCAAATTATCTTTGTTAATCCATCCTCCATTTCTGACCGTCTTCCAACAGAAAAAATAAGATACCTGTTAATGTAAACTTGAAAATCTGACCGTCTTCCGGAAGACCCAGAAGACGGCCTCAATCTGCCCCTGATTGACTTTATCCTTTAAGCCATTTAGAATATTGTTCTTGCTCAGTAAAACCCATCATTTTTCCATACTTTTTTAAATTTTTTACCTATGTGTGGCATGTTTCTAATCATATTATCAGATCCCAGTTAGTGTGGTGAAATAATCACCAGCATCAGAATTGGACAAGCTTGAAATAAAAAAAGGAGAACAACTTGTAAGACTGTATCACTGTATGTATCCTTGGACTCCCTTCAGTAGGCCTCTTTGGGATGTCTGAGTGTGATCAACTTGGGAGAGGGGGTGTGAATGATTTAACAGTCAGTTGGGAAAGTTATGTCATACTGCAGGGCAATTAATAGGGCATTGCCTTCATGTGGCCTGTCTGGAATGAAGGAAACACTCTGGGAAAGAATTAAATGAAATTTTTATTGGGTTAATGTGATGTAAAGGTGGTGTTTACACTTAGCTGTCTGGAGTGGCTTGCCTGGCCACTTGGCTTGAAACACTGGACTGTGTAAACAGGAGGGGGGGTTTAAAAGTTGTGATTGAATTAAGTCAGTTTCTTTCTTACTCTTTTCATACACACATTTTCTCTCTCTCTCTCTCTCTCTCTCTCTCTCTCTTTCTTGATTTTTCTCCCTTATATCTTTAATTGTATTTTATCTTTGCCTGCTACCTTCCATTTCTTCTCTCTCTCTCTCTCTCTCTCTCTCTCTCTCTCTCTCAGATTTCAGTGTCCTCACTACACCAACAGGGGTCAGCAGTTCCTGCCTGTGGAGCTGTGAAGCCTGCAGTTTGCTGGGGGTGAGTCAAGTCAATTGATTGAGTGATAGGGAGACACAGGTCAACAGCTCTGTGTACTATGTTATAAATGAGCTGAATAATAGAGGATAAGGGTGAGAGATGGAGGGAGCAGGGAAGAGAGAGAGAGAATATGTGTGTTTTTGAGAGAGGAAGGAAGGAAAGAAATAGGCAGGGATGGATGGCAAGAAAGATGGAAAGAGTGAGAGAGGTATCGACTAGGTAACTGAGAGGAAGAGATGGAAAGTGGGGCTAAAAGTTAAGGAGAGATAGGGAAAGGAAAGTATATGGAGAAAAGGAAAAAAAGGAGAGAAAGGAGAAGGTAGTGAGAGAGAAAATGAAAAGGCTAGAAGAACTGCTAAGGGAACAGTTCTCACTATTAAAAGAAGGCTGGAAAATGGAAGAAAAGAAGAATTATCAGTCCTGTTGAAATATGTACTGAACGAGGCAATGCCCCTCATTGAAAAAATGTCTCAGTTAGAAAATGCAGCGAGACTTACACAAACTAATTGATTTTTAAATGTTTTTCCACTTTTTTTTTTCACACTTGTCCAACTCTGGTACTTGTTACTCTATTTTACCACATGTTTGACATTTGGTGATTATCAACATGGAGCCCATAGAAAGCTATAATGTTTTTTAACAAATGGTACTTGAGTAAGAACTATAGGTGAGGTGAAGTAAAGCCCCCCCCCCCCCCCCCCCCCCAAAAAAAAAAATAGAATTAGGGGAGGGAGGCCCTAGTTGACATAAAAAGAATCAGTCACTTTTTTCATTTTTGATGTCATACTGTATGTTTTTTGGACATGAGCAGCTGCATGGCTTTTTGAAATTGTTTAGTATAGTTCTAGGAAGTAGCAGCAATTGGAATGTGTTTGTAAATGTGTGACATGTTTTTTTTTTTTTTTTGTTTTTTTTTACTTCCAAGTACGTACCACTTGTTACTGTTAGTTAAAGCATGTTTTATGAATTTCTTTTTGGACAGATGATGACAGATGTGTGCATTGTTAAGCAGGGGTTTGTGCTATTGTGTAAGGTATGTGTGTGTATGTGTGTGTTTTCTTCTCAGATATTTCTTCTTTGGATATAAGAGATAAACAAGTTTTTTTACAAACTTTTTTCAGGCTGTCTTTTTTCTGAATGAAAACATGCCTTAAAGTTAGGTGTAAGTAAACATCTTACAAAGGAAAAAATATTCCAGTGTGTTATAAGAGGGATAGGACTTTTCCTCTTTTAAGAGAATCCTTTATGCCCATAATACTTAAATATCAAGGCAGTTTTAAGATAAAAGAAAGAAAAAAGAGACAGATTAAGTGAATTAACTATTCATGTATTTCATTTATTGGGTGTGACAAGACAAGTGCAAAATAATAATAATGATAATAATGTCTATTGAAGTATTTTATTTATTAGGTGTTTAGGACACAGGATGAATGATAAGAAGGTCTGTGAATGGCCTTCTTTTTGGAGGATTCACTCCTTTCTTTGCATTTGAAACATGAAACTTTGGGTTCTGGATTTTATAGTGAAGTGTTTACAAACAGGTGAATTAATTGCAGGTATGAGGTATGTGTGAGAAGGATTTTTATTTATTTATTTATTTATTTATTTATTTATTTA